GTTCATTCGTCTTCTTCTTCTGAACGCGGCTATTTGATAATTTATCTTTGCGTATGCTGCAGACGTTTGCATCAGCATATTTTTCGTCGAGCAGACGAATTTCAACTCATCGCACAAAATTGAGATACGTCTAAAACAATCGATGATTTTAGCGTTACATCCCAAACCTTAAAACCTATTTTCATGTGTTAAACTTACTCCTATTCGAATGATCAAAAAAGAATGATCTCTGCTCTCTTGTACAAATAGAACATTACCAACCAAGTAAGTATTTTTATTCATCTAGCAGATTGTCGCATACTTATTTTGTATGTATACCAAATTTTGCTAGCCGAAAATAAATCTTCTGTCACTTCAAGAAGTGTTGGCCATTTATGACACGGATAAAGGATCGAATGATCAAATCGGTGAAATAATTCATGAATCCTTTCCAATGCCAGACTTTATTCCCAACACATGTGCATATGAAAATAATAAACGTCACATAACAACAATTCCAACACCCATCCAAAACTCTATAAACGACATCTGTCTCACACTGCCTGGTTCATACAATTATCACGACAACAGCCAACATCATGCTTTACATACTCGCTTATAAGCTAATATACGAACGAANACGAACGAATCAACGATGTAAACGGCAACGTTCCATCATCTAGCACTCTCAAATGCCACGTTGCCTGTTCATCCACATCACATTTCGGTTGTCGTTATCGTTGTTCATTGGATTTCATTGCGCTTATCAACACATCATCATTTTCAACGAGCCGCCATTATCAGCACCAATGAAGCACGCCGCTATTCGTACCTTCTAATCGAATTCTGTTATCTCTATTTAGCACCTCTATCAAATTTTATCAGTGCTATCCTACGATATTTGTTCATTTCACTCATCATGACACAGCATATAAAGGCTCATTCATTTCGAGTGTCAATCAATGTTGATAAACAGTTTTTTAACCTTATTTATTTGATGGTATGATTCAAATAAGCATCAATATTTGAATACTTCAAGCCGTTTTTGATGATGCTGTTCCATTAGAAAATTTGATTTTCTGATTATTCTGAGAGTATTTTCTTTGCTTTTTGAACCGAGTTAATTCAACGTTCACCAGGCAATCAAATGATAATGTTTGAAATGAAGCTGAGTTTATATTTTACCTCCATCAATACATGAATTATGATAAAAATGACTGCATTAAAAGCAAACTTAAGAGGTCATTAAAATATGAAGCAATTTGTGGTTATGTAACAAGTGAACTTGAACACAATTACATTTGAATGGCAATTCCTTCGCAATGCTTACATGCAATAAAAGCGATGCTCTGCTTGGCAACCGTCATTTTTGTTTTAGTTCATTCGCTCTTGATGCATACACGATCGGCCGATTTCATGCAGCCATTTGCAACGTTTCACATTTCTGTCATGAGTTAAAAGTGCACTCAATTCGGTTCCAATCGAAAGCTTCTCCAAATAGTTCAATTCGAATGTTTTTTTTTTCGAATAATGAATCACAAAATTATATTCGCTGTTTGCTTTCTTCTTAATGTGATTACTTGTTTGATTCGTCGTCATATCGAATGATAATATAATCATTTTCACAAACAAGTAATGAGAAAAGTAATTCTTCGAGCAAATTGTGATAATATTTCAAATCGAATGCTTCTTGCGTTAATCCCTGCTGTACGATGCGGATAGCATATTTCAACGAGTATCAACGCTACGTAGTTTTGTCATTATTTCATTCTCGCCACCCTTATTAGAATCGAAAACGTCATTATAATTTATATTCGATCAAAATATTTATATTCATTCGTTCAATTCCGTTTTACATCCATTTTACTCATCATTTTTATTCCATTTTGCATCTTCATTTCAAAACCCTTCATCTCTAATCTTGTCTGATATTTTTGATTAAATGTAACGCGCTGTCTAGGATTTTGAACTGTGTGCTGATATGTTGATTGAAAGGGGTAATCGTGAGAAGAGGGTATTGCTAATAGTGATGATAATAAAAATTTTGATTGGGAATTTCAACGATAAGAAAATCATAAATGGTCAGCATCGCTTTCAGTACGATAAGCAAGCATTTAACAAATTCCGTTGAAATTGTGTACAGCTCATTTACATTTTTACCAAGAAATGGTATGAAACCAAATTTTTTGTGTCGAAGAAAAATCGTGTGAAACTTTTGCGTGATAATTTGAAGGACACCACATTTCCGCTGTCTGCACCGCTTTTTTTGAACGATAAAGTTGTGACAGCCCATAAGAAATCTAAACAGAGGAAATGTTACATAAGATCGTTGTTGTTGTTATTATTATTATTATTATTTTAGTGATGTCTATGAAATGCATTGATAAATGCAATACGAACAGTTTCACTGAAGTGAAAGCAATAAAGGTGCATCGTAGAATCTTAAATGAAGACTCTGAGCGCTAATATCTTTTGATGAAACCTCTGAGAGACTGCTACACGAAGAGGTGATATGAATGGGGTTATAACGTCAATTGATAAAGTAATAAAAAGAGGCATAGATTAATGAAAAATTAATGATCTTCTGCTGCTCTACTCCATATTGTTTGTGCTTGTTAATGAATTCTATTGAGATATTAATCAACTTCTTATAACCATAACTCTCATCGGCTGAAATCGTTATTGTTCTGCTCTGTACATGTTTACGTGCATCCTTGCACATCAACATGCAAATGCGGCGGCACAAGCAACTTCGCATAAAATTTCATCAAAATATTCACTTTTGAGGAAGCAGCATTTGTTGTGTTGTGTCACCTTGTCTCTATTCCATCCCTAGCACTTCTTCAGTCTAGCCACTGAAACAAACCGAGATTTATTCAAAATGAAGTATGTTCACTCAAAAACATCCGTTCCTGATTGTGTAACTTTGCATCCAATTAACTTCATTGACAGTGCATTGAGGCGTTCGTTTTCACAATCTTTTGACCAAAAACTGAAATTGTCTCAACATCAATTAACGAGTAACAAAAATGCTTCAATTGAACCAATTCGTTCGACCTTTCATAAACTCAAATAACAGCAGCAATCTTTACTTCAGCTATCGATAATTTGGGTTTCAATAAAATAACAACTCTGATGCCATACAATTGTTGTCTTTCAATATTTTACAAAACACAAGTGTCGTTGTTTTGAATATGACCAAAGGTGAGTTTAAGAGTTACTTCTTTGGGTAGCAGCAAGCAGTTCAGTATGACTGCGATTGTCACTGTCGATAGAATTCTGTATTTTTGCGATCAAATAAAACTTATTCGTCAAATTTATCATTTGAATGCGACATCATCATATGTAGTTGCATTCGTGTGAATCACGGGGCACAACATTTAGTGAAAAAGTATCACTAATTCAGTGATAGCATTGTTCGGAACAATCCAATGCAATGAGTAATTGAGTTCAATCCGATAAACTATTTCAAACGATTTTCAGGTACAAATGATGACCAACAAAACAGTCACTATAAAGGTATTGCTGTAAATGAGGTGAAAGTACTAGAGGATGCGGATTTTAAGTATATAAAAGAATTATGTGCTAAAAATGATGGTTGGTCGTGTGTATACGATAGGAAAGCGATTCGCGTGTGGACAAAAAACGTTGATGACTCGAACTTTTGTATGATCAAAGTTGGTGATTATTCTGGAGTTCATTGGATTTTTAAATTATCACCTTTAAATCATTATAAATTATTGCCTTTCTAAATTGTCTTGAAATGATCTGGAAAGAGTGCTTTTTTGAGGAACTGCTATTTTCGCTTTAATTCCCACTGAGCGATCGGAAAACTTAATGAGAAAGGCGTTTTCAATGCGTTCAAAAACAATCTCGCCGTCATTCGCTTCAGAGAACGGTAGGATTATAGAGTACAGTGGCTAGGAAGTCGATACAAACTATAATCAGTTTGATGAAGTAGACGACGCATGAAATGATGATATTGTCAGTAAACGGAAACGTCGGCATTTCTGTTGATTGATAACTGTGAATGTTGATCGCCGTGGCTAGATGAAGTACAAATTTATAGATTTATACGGATGCACTTCCATGTTGTCCCTGATGAGTCCCTCTCCCTAGAAATAAATGGGCATATGGGAGAGTAGCCCAAAACCTCTGTNGATTTCATGAAGACAGATGATTCCAAAGGAAGGAAGAATGTGATATTAGTGATATTGGTAATAATAGAGAGGCATAAACTCGTAATGAGTTTGATTTGCTGATTAAATAAATACGGACGCACTTCCATGTTTAAGCTCTGAACGAGTGTTTCTGCAAACAAATTTATTAGTTTGTTGAAGTGAAATGACATCATTTTCAGAAGAAATTACTAAAATTATCAGTTTTTTTTAAAATTTACCCATCCATATAAACTTAATTGTTTGCGATATTTTATGGATGGCGATATTTGATATTTATTCTCTTTGAAGCAATGAAATTTGCTCTCAAAATCGATAGTCCCATATTCCAAATATTACCAGCTCTTTTTTTTGAGATGATGAAAATGCAATAAAAGAGCAGCAGCAAACGGATGTTCATCGCTTGGACATTACAATTATACGCTGAAGCGCAAATTTTGGATTTTTATATTGGTGATTGTTCGAGAAGAACAATTACTGCTGTTATATTTATGTGAATTACACGTTTAGAAAACTGGGCGTTGCTGATATCACTAGTGCAATTCATTGCTCTCCCATAGAAAAACATGACAAACTCATCATTTTATTCATTGACGGACTCAGTTACCTTATCAGTCATCCTCAACAACGAAACTTTCCATGAGGTACTTCGAAGATTGTAGGAAACATCATAATTGCTAAGTGAATGAATGAATGTAGCCTAATGACAGAATACGTAAAACTGAACTTTTTTCATTCGTTTACAGTATTCCATCATCGGGTTTGTCTTTCAAAGGCATTAAACCGAATAAATTTAAAGATTGATTTAAGGCAACCAGTCATATGACGGATACATGTGCGGATGTGATGTATGATGTTCTCCATGATCCAGTTTACAGGTCCAAATGGGATCATTATATGTTGAATGCTGAAGATATTGGATTTATAAATCCAAATAAGAATAAATTTAAAGATTGATTTAAGGCAACCAGTCATATGACGGATACATGTGCGGATGTGATGTATGATGTTCTCCATGATCCAGTTTACAGGTCCAAATGGGATCATTATATGTTGAATGCTGAAATAAATTTAAAGATTGATTTAAGGCAACCAGTCATATGACGGATACATGTGCGGATGTGATGTATGATGTTCTCCATGATCCAGTTTACAGGTCCAAATGGGATCATTATATGTTGAATGCTGAAGATATTGGATTTATAAATCCAAATAATGACATTTGCTATTATGCAGGTGAATCGAATGGTCCTCTTCTTTAATCCATCATTAAAAGCGTACCAGTTGAATTAAAGAAACAACATTAAAACACAACGCTAAATTTTGTATTATTCAGACCATATTAAAAGAACCAATTTCCAAACTGTTACATTTGTATGTAAGAAGTAATAGTAGAAGATGAGATTCAGTACAAATAGTGAGACAATTGTTCACGTTTATCGCTGTTTGTGTGTTAATTCTTTAAATGAGTCTACTCTTGTTCAGTGTAGAATGAAAGTAAGGTAAACTACAAAATTGATCACACATTTGCTCGGTTGACCTTTTCTCTAACGCAAGTTTATTGGTTTCTTCTGGTGATTTTAAAGATCCGAGACGACGAAATGAAATCTGACAGTTTCAGACTGAATTTTTCTGAGTTGGTTTATTTCCATAGAAACCAAAGACGATATAATGACATATTGAGCACGATTCAGTGCTGAACTCCTTTTCAGAATAATTCTGTTTGGTTCTGTTAGCATCTAGCACACAACTAAAGTTGATAGTCATTCAATTAACAACGGTTTCTTCTCTTACGATTAGGGGAATGAAAATACTGAACATGAAATAGTGAAATATTGAATATGCTTTCAGTTGGTGGCATGAAACCATTCAGGAATCGTGATTTTGTCATTCAGCGATCGTGGTTAGATACTGGCAAAGAGAAATTCATTTGCAGTCATTCAGTTTGTCATGTGGTTGGTGCTGGCAATTTCATTCTTATTTCTTTCTTATTTTCCAGAATGAAACATTCGCAAGCGGTTCATAGGTAAATTGATCAGCACTGAAAACAAGAGAGAAAGGTTTGGAAATATGACCAAACTCTTTCGATGAAAGAATTAATGAAAGCGGGCTATTAGGTAAAGGTTTTCCTCATGCATCCGAGAAAAGTATTTCTTTCTTATTTCTCGTGTAATATTCACATTACGATTATGATGGATTTTTATTGTTCGCATAAGAAAATTGGTATAGTTCATCACTGCGATGCTCGTATTTGATCTGATTTATTTTTATCGTTCAGAAGTATCCTCCAGTGAAGAGCTGTATTCGAGGTGTTATTTTCTTTACTGCGTTCATAATACGTGAAATGGATGTTGGTTGTGAGTTGACGTACATTACACATTCCGATCCGAAAGGTTCGTTCAGTTCATTGCCTTCATCTCTTTTCGATCAGTTGACATCAGATGATAGCCTCACTTCAGATGATTGTAATAACTGATCAATGATGAATTCTATCTCAAGAACATCAATAAATTAAGGCAAATTACCCGCATGGTTAATCAATCGTTTAACAAGAGTTATTGGACCAAAAATGATGAAAAAACTCCACAAAGCATCACTCAACTATCCGGAATGGAAAAGCGCCAATCGGCCTTCATGGAAACCATGGATTTATCCGGAACAACAGGTTGACGCATTAAGCGAATGCAGATCGCATTTCGAGAATCATTTTGAGTGTATCTTAATGACTGATAGACACCGGCGAAAGTGAACCGTATCGAGCGATTTTGATCGAATTTATCGGAGTCATTGAAACGCTCGGCGATTGCAGATGAACATGGAACGCATCAAAATGTCCGACTGTAAAGCGTGTATTTACGAACAAGAACTGATCGACGAGAGTTGTGTGGACGTGAAGGACTTGAACGACGATGAGAACAGTGGTGATTAGTTCGATGAACTGATCGGCTGATTTCGATTCAACGACAACTGGCAATTGAATTGTATCGCTGAGTGATTCTTATA